TTTTAAATTACTTTAATGTCATTATAATATTGCTTTCAAATTTTTTAAGAGAAAGTTCTTCCTTCTATTGAGCCAAAATCAACCTCTTCTCACTCCCTGTGAGTTTCATTTCCTCTCTCCTTCTGTCCTTGAAAATTATACAAAATAAATGAACTTGAAATATGTGAAAATGGTTATCATAGTTTTAGTACCTTCATTCTCTGGTACTCCAGAAGACAGATTAGAGAGGCAATGCTAATATCAGGGAGACTCAGTAAGGAGACTTAGCTGTCATTCACAAAGAAAGCAATGATGACAGACTGAACCAGCACAATGGCAGTAGGGCCAAACTTGAGAAATATTTCAAAGGTAAAACAGATGGAAAAGGTAACCAAAGGGATGTGAGAGGTGAGAACACAGAAGTTGAACACATTCCTCGTCAGGCTGTTTGATAAAATCATGGTTACACCACCAACATGATGAACCTGAGAGAAGGAAGAGCATATCTGGTCAGAAGTTGAAATTCTATTTAGAGATGTTGAATTTGAGGTACCTGTAGGATATATATGTCTATATACTGATGGAAAGATCAAGTTGAAGTCAGGGAGACAAAACCAAACCAGAGAAATAGGAGACAAAGATAAAAGCAAAACATGAATGAAATAGAAAACAAACAAAAGCCATAGAAGTGATCAGGACAGGGACATCTGGGTGGCTCAGTTAGTTAAGTGTCTGACTCTTGGTTTTGGCTCAGGTCATGCTCTCGTGGTCATGAGATCAAGCCCCACATGGGGCTCTGCACAAAGTACAGAGTCTGCTTCAGGTTCCCTCTCCCTCCCCCTGGGCTCCTCTCCCCATGTGTGCTTGCACTTGCATGTGCGCTCTCTCTCAAATAAATAAAGTAAATGAAATCTTAAAAAAAAAAAAAAAAAAAAAGAAGTGATCAGGACAACCAAAAGATGACTTTGAAAGGATAATAAAAAATATTGATTTTTAGCAAATATAACCAAGAAAAACTAATGGGGCACAAATAAACAGCAAACAGATACAAAAACAGGGAAATAGCTATAGAACAAAGAAATTTTTTTAAATTATAAGAGACCTCCATGAATAACTTCATATCACAATTTATGAACATTTGAATTGGGAGAGAAAAGTAAGGTATTTATATTTTTTGGTATAAAGTTATTCATGGAGGTCTTTTATAATTTAAAAAATTTCTTCTGTTTCTGTCATTATTTCCCCTTTTTAGAGAAAAACACAGAGCATATCTCTGTGAACTTCAGATTAGACAAAAAAAAATTTTTTTTGAAAGAGAGAAAGCATAAGCAGGGGCTGGGGGCAGAGGGAGAGGGAGAGAGAGTTTTAAGCAGACTCCAGGCTCGGGGTGTGGAGCCCTATATGTGGCTGGATCTCATGACCCCAAGATCATGACCTGAGCCAAAATCAAGAGTCAGACACTTAACTGACTGAGCCACACAGGCACCCTTAGAAGAGACAAAAAAAATTTTTTTAAGATTTATTTATTTGAGAGAGAGAGAGGGGAATCAGGGGAGGGTAAAGGGGAGAGGGAAAGAAAGAATCTCAAGCAGACTCCCCACCAAGTGTGAAGCCCAAAGTGGGGCTTGATCCCATGACCTGAGCCAAAACCATAAATCAGACACTCAATTGACTGAGCCACCCAGGCACCCCAACAGACAAAAATTTTTAAATAAAAACTGCCAAATATAGCTGAAAAGATTGATAAATTAGACTACATTAAAATTAACATAATTAGTATTCTGTTCACAAATACTATTAGTGTTCACAAAATACTATTACGAGACTAAAAAGGCAACTCATAAAGTCAAAGAGATACTCACAATACATATATCTGACAAAGGACTTTTATGTAGGATATATATGCAGAACTCCACAAATCAATAAGAATGAAAGACAATCCAATAGAGCCCAATAGAGAAAAAAATGACAACTTGAAAAGACACTTCACAAAAAAGTATATCCAACAAGGCCAATAAACATATGAAAAGATGCTCATCTTCATTAGTCATCAGGCAACTGCAAATTAAAACCACAGTGACCTAACATTACACACCCACCATGATGGCTAAAATTAAAAAGATAGAAAATGCCAAGGGTTGGTGAGGATGTGGAGCAACCACAACTCTCATACATTGCTGATGGGAGTATAAATTGGCACAACCACTTTGGAAATTGTTTTGTAGTATCTATTAAAACTAAATGTACACATATCCTTGACCTAGCAAATCTACCTCTAACAGTTCTATTCCCACCAGAAATGTGTATATATTTCATTGAAAAACATGTTCAGGATGTTCAGAGCAGTACTATCATAATAGTCAAAACTGGAAAGTTATCCAAATGCCCACCAACGCTAATGGAATGAATAGTGAGAATGGTCTACAACAACAAGCAAGAATATGGATAAATCTCACAACATAATGTTGAGTGAACAAATGGCTCACACTCTATGACTCTATATCTATAAAATAAAAAACAAGAGAAACTAATCTATGCTAACAGAAGTCAGGATAGAAATATTCTTACTGACTGACTTCAAAGTAAGACTTAGTTTTCTGAGGAACTGGTAGTATTTTGTTTCTTCATCTGGGTGTTGACTTCATGTGTTTATTCAGTAGGCTGGGACAAAGGTGAGACAAACAAGTTAGCTAAAAAGCAAAATTTAAGAACCTACTTACTCTCACCTTGCTTGCCTCACCCTCATCCCAGCCCTGATGTTCAAGTTTGTGAATATTTACTGAGCTGTATCATTATGATGTGTTTTTCTGTTTGTAAGTTATACTTGAGTTTAAAAATTTTAAAGGGGTCTGGTTTACCTCATACCACAAATAAAAATAAACTTGAAATGGAATAAAAACCTAAATGTAAAAAGAAAAGCCTTAACATTCTTAGAATAAAATATTGGAGAATACAGTAGTCCCCTTATCTGCAGGGGATATATTCCAAGACCTCCAGTGGGTGCCAGAAACCATAAATAGTACCAAACCCTATATATACTATGTTTTTTCCTATATATACATGCCTATAATGAAGTTTAATTTATAAGTTAGGCACAGTAAGAGATTAGCAATAACTATTAATAAAATAGAACAATTACAGCAATGTAATGTAATAAAAGTAATGTGAGTATGGTCGCTCTCCCTTTCAAAATATCTTACTTTATACTCACAATTCTTCTTGTGATGATGTGAGGTGATAAAATGCTTATGTGGTGGGCGCCTGGGTGACTCAGTCGTTAAGCGGCTGCCTTCGGCTCAGGTCATGATCCCAGGGTCCTGGGATCGAGTCCCACATCAGGCTCCCTGCTCAGTGGGAAGCCTGCTTCTCCCTCTCCCACTCCCGCTGCTTGTGTTCCTGCTCTCACTATCTCTGTCTCTGTCAAATAAATAAATAAAATCTTAAAAAAAAATGCCTATGTGGTAAAATAAAGTGAGGCGAGTGATGTAGGCATTGTGACATAGTGTTAGGCTACTACTGACCTTCTGACAATATGTCAGAAGGAGGCTTATCTACTACCAGACTGCAGCTGACTGAGGATAACTGAACTGCAGAAAGCCAAACCACAGATAAGGCAGTACTACTGTATTATAAACAACCTCAGGTAAAGAAAAACTTCTTAAGAATATTCAAAAGCACATGTTAGAGGAAAATATTTGATTACATTAAAACTAAGAACTTCTCTTTACCAGGAAAAAAAAAAAAAGAACTTCTCTTTACCAAAGACATCTTTTAAAAAGTGAAACGATATGCCACAAACCTGGAAAAAATATTACAACATAAATAAGTGAAGGAGAACTATTAATCAGAACATATTTTTTAAATCAATGAGGAAAAGATAAATAATCCAATAGAAAAAGAAATGAAAGACTTGAACAGTTACTTTATATATAAGAAAACCAGAATGGCCAATACGCATGAAAAGATGCTCAAACTTACAAATAACTAGGGAAATGCAAATAAAAATCATGAAGTATTACCATTTCACATCCAGTAGATAGACAGAAAACATAAACTCAAATAATATTAAGTGTTGGCAAGAATGTAGAGCACTCTCCTCCACTGTTGGTGGAGTACAAATTGGTACAACCACTTTGGAAAACAGTTCTACATTACTAATAAAGTTGAAAATGTATAAGCCCTAGGATTCTTTGGTATATTCTCTAGAGATACTCTTGTAAATATATATCAGGAGATTTGTACACGAATGCTTATAACAATTAAAAAGAAAGAAACTCTATCAAGAGTAGAATATTCTACAGTAGTGAAAATGAATGAACAACCACACACAAATGGATAAATCTCATTTTTGATGGTCAAGCAAAAGAAGCAAATCATAGAAGAATAACAAGGGTATGATTACATTTATATAAAAGTTTTAAACAAGTGGATATACTCATGGATGGTAAAATTATAAAGAAGAGTAATAGAAGGATTATCATAGAAGTTAGGAGTCTGGTTACATTTGGAGGAGAAGGAAGGGGTGCAATGGGGAAGGGGCACATGGTGGCTTCCAAGGTAGTGACAATGTTCTACTTCTTAACCTGAATGGAGGCTATACGGATGTTCTCATTATTCTTTAAACTGTACATACTATTTTATATACTCTGCTGTATGTGTGATATTTTCAAAATAAAATGATTTTTAAAAGTATAAAATGTTCTATATATGTATACCTGTGTATGAATGTGTATGTGTGTGTGGGTGTGTGTTCCATAAAGGAAAACAACAGAATTTTCAGTGACAAAGTGTCAGAAAGCTGTTCACTAGACTTACTAAATTATTTCATATAATTGGCAAGTTGAATTGAATGAGTTTACCACAAAGTCCTGATTTTTGTATATATAGTTCCTACTAAACATATGCTTGGAAAGTGTTACCACGTGTCTTATTTAATCTATCAATTGAATTATTCATTCTCAAGTTGTCCACTTTCATTTCCTTTGGTAAAAGATAAATTCTTAATTTTAAAAGATAAAAATCCAGTTGAAACATGCCCATTCTTTTCTTAACCTTTATTTTTTTTTAAAACCAGCCTATGTTAACTATATCTTTCTGGAACAGGATCAGAAGAAAATTGCATCAAACTCTAAAGCCATTAGCATGTGTGACATTGTGAAAATACTAAAGATGAAAAAAAATCCTGTTTGTTTGGTTATATTATTTATATTAATTAAGACCTCCTTTCAATATATTAAATATAACACAGATTTAAAGAATCAGAAAGAACCTTCAAAAGTTATTTACTACAGTCATCTCTTTAAGTAGGACTCAAATTATCTCAAGCAAATAAATTAGCATCCTAATTTGAAAATAGCTCCTGAAAAGATTTTATAGCATCACCTCCTATTAAGCAGTCTGAAAATTTTTATGTCTAACTCAGAACCCTTTTAATACAATATTGACATACAGTAAACTTTGTTACCCAGATGACAGGATGTGGATTTACCTAGGACAGTGGGGCCCTAGCAAGTACTCAACTCCCAAGTCTCTACTGGAGGAAGTAGGAAAGTAAAGGGCTCAGAGCCCTACCCATTTGGCTCCAGTGGTTCCAAACGCCCCAGACCCCTGGCTTTCCCCAGAGACCTAGCCCCAAAGCTTGTCTCTCTCTACATAACCAATAGTTGACTATCATTTTGTTTTTACTCTGACTTGAGTTTATCTATAACTTTTTTCTCCCCCAACCTCCTTCCACTCAATTATCCCAGTAATCAAGAACTTTATATTTCCAGTGAGAATGAATACCTAGAATATTTTTTAAATCCTAAAAATGTTACCTATAAATGAAAAAAAGAAAATCCCAAATTTTCTAAGTTTATGGGTACCTTTTCTAAAAGAAGTATATTGGAAGGTCTTTTTTTTTTCTTGTAATCATGGACAATTTCAAAGTATATTCCCTTTTTTTACAGTACAGTACTTTTTTTACAATAAAGACTCCCTGAGGTCAGAGGCTAATTTTGTTTTAGTTTTTATACCTGACATACTCCATTGGACTATTACTGTGATATAACCTATGAGGGAATTAAAAATGTTAGCTGTGTTTAACTGAAGCAATGGAGGCTCGATAAAGTTTTGCCTTACATGATTGTTGCATTCCTCTTCTTCTTCATCGAAGTCTAGACCCTGATGAACAATCTCAGTAGTGCTGTTCTCCTGAAAGAGATTGTTCTCCAAATCAGATACTCTGGTGGCCTCAGTTGTGACTTTTACTTTCATACTATGAAAGCCAGTGGAGACCAATCCCACTTGCAGGTTTACAGGCTCCCCCTCGAACAGCAGGAAGTGTGAGTTTACCCCTTCTTTAAAACCAGGGGGTTGGTAATCATGTGGAGTCACTGCAAAATGAAAAGGGCAGAAAACCAAGAAAACTGTGAGTTTCAATAAAAGTCAAATTAATCTTTCATGTGTAGCAACAGGTATCTTTCAGATGCTTGCAAAATCTCTCTATGTAAAATATTACTTTGACACTTAAGAAGGAATTTAACTAGAGGTCTCCACCTACCCGCATTATAGTAGTGGAGTTTCATAGTAAGTATAACATCATTAGGAAGGGGTCCAAGGTTCTGCATCAGTATATATAATTTACGGATCAGTAGAACACTGGCTTTCTTAATATCTTCACTGTTTGTCCCACTTTCGAAGCTTGTACTACTGCTATAACCATATAGAAAAACAGCATACTTTTCAATCATATGTAATACTGAAACTCTATTTTAAAAAGAACAAAACTCTTAACCATATGATCAAATAAATATAAATATCAGGACACTTGAGACCATTTTTAGAATGTAAATTAGAGCAGTGATTGTACTTTCTGCAATGTATATACAATGGATTTCTTAAGTAGCAAGTTCCCTTAAATATGACCTGATTTTTTAAAAATTTGAGTTACAAATAACCACATGCCATAATAGTGAGAACAATGGATTTGGAATTAGGAGACTTGACATCTAATATTGGGTCTGCTGCTAACTAACTGAATGAGCTGTGTCAAGTCATTTAGACACTCTAGATCAGTTAGCTCACTTTGCAGGATAAGCTTATACACATTTCTACACCTTTCCAGATTTTCTATTTGAAAATTGGTCATCAGTTCTGGGCCCTTCCTCCGTCTGGTTATCTGTCAGAGATGTCCCTTCCTCTTACATGGATTCCAACAATGGCTATCTATTCTTCTCGCTTTTCTTCTTGTCTACACTACAATAACATTCTCTATGCTACTGCTGCAATAATATACCTAATAGGAAAATCTCCTCATGTCACTCTCTTGCTTAAAATTCTTCTATTACACTCATCACCTTTCAATCAAATTCAAGAATGGTATGTGTACAATGACTTTCATGAGCAGCCACGCCCTCACCTACAACCTCATCTGCATTTACTACCCAGTTTCTTCTCACCCATGTGCATTTGCATATGCCGTTTACTTTGCTTGTATTGTGTTTTTCCCACTTCTTTTCCTGACTCTCCTCAATTCATCCTTTAATAGCTAGCTCATGTGTCACCTCTTCAAGGAAGTTTTCCCTGATAATTCTTATACATTACTCCTATGTATAATTGTTTGTATGCCCCCCTCTAGATTATGCGTGGCTCTATCTTTCATGTCCACTGTTTGGTGCCAGCTAGAGTAAATACTCAGTAAACATTTGTGGAATGAATGAATGAATGTACAAGTGGAACCAAATTACCTTCTAACTCTAAATATTTTTTTATTTCTCTCCAAAATTTTCTTCCCAAATTGGTTTCATATTTGAATAGCTTCTAGGAAGGACTATCAACTGCAATATATTTGCACAATGTCTTTCACATAGTAAGCACTCAATAGTGAATAATAATCCTAAGTAATTGAGCTACTGGAGGAAGTGTGGATTCATAAAACAGACATTATTAAGTGAATACATCTGCTCCTTTTTTGATTTTGAACAACAAAGTTTTGTCTCCTAAGATTTAACCAATTTGAAATAGGTAACTCAAGTGAAGGGCTATAGCATTTAGCTCATGGGATCTTTCAGTATACATCATATTCATAAAATCATATCCATGTAAAATCATACTCAAGACTCCCTTGTACTCTTTTAAAAGGGAAATTATCTTTACTATGGAAGAGGTGATAAAGTAATTTTGTATGACTGATCATTTAAATAAATGTCTACCTTTGGTTTCTAGGAGATTAGTAATATGCATTACCTTCTCTCCTCCTTAATAGCCAAAAGATTTGGCCATTTCTGTTTTACTGCTCACCACTTGGCATATGTGCCTTCATAACAAAAGAGATTAATCTGGTTGCCAGTAGTACTTATATTTAAATTTTGTAGAGTAAAAGGCAACTGTTTAATGTGGGAGAATATGTACGGAAAGTGCTGTACAATCTGTACAATGCTATATAAATGCTAGCTTATGATGATTAATATTTTAATTCTCATTCCTAAAACTTACTTCCTCTGCACATCCTACTGCTGTCTGCAAGTTTTACAAATGAGAGGATAATTAAGGAAGTGAATCTCAGAGAGAAATCCTCAAACTGCAGTAAATGACAAGACAGAGCTAACAGCAGAAAATTGAGTATTAGGCCACGTTTCTCTTCAGAGTTGCTCCTTTCATGGGCACTCATTCCCCTGACTTGGAGCCCTCTACCACCCAGGCCTTTTCACCACCACCCACCCCCTCCACTTCTATTCCATCTCATCAGCAAAACTGAGATCTTTCTGAATCCAAAAGCTACTGGGATGGGAATAAATATCGCTCTTCAATAAAACATCTCCACCTACACCAGGGATCTTTTTAAGCAAATACCCATGTCTTTGCTCTTTAACCCACTAGTATGTCTAAAACTTGGCATTTTAAACTTGATAGGAAAAAGTAGTGCTTTCCAGTCTTTTCCATACTGGGACAAACATAAAAAATTACATTTGTATGACAGATTGGGAGAAGTAGATGAGAATGTTTGTATCTATAGTTCAGGGGTTTCATTCACTCCAGATCCAGTCTGGCTATACTGAGGGCAAAAAAGATTAATATCTTGGCATAGCAACTGAGAAACTTCAGGTTAGTGTCTAAATAGAATCTTATGGAGTTCTTCAATCAACACCATGTAGACAGCCTCATTAATATAATTTCTACTGCGATGCCACCCACCAACCACCACTGCCTCCAAGGACCACTACCATCACTACCACTACCACCAGGTACCATTTACTGGCCTTTTAACATATGCCAGGCATGGGCAAAGCTTTGTATATGTATTATAAGTTAATAGTCACAGCAACCATATGATGTAAATATTATTAATTCCACTGTGCAGATGAGAATACTAGTATTTAGGGAGGTTAAGTAATCTGTCCAAAGTTAGACCAATAATGGAGTGTTCCAAGCTAGGTCTCTAGGAATTGGAACTCTTAACCACCAAACTTAACTTCCTTTAAACCCCACTAACATCACCTATGAGGAGAAGAGGAAAAGAAGCAAAGGAAGACTCTACTCCCACCAACTTCATCCATGGATTTCAGAAATTTGAACAATTATTACTATTATTAATGGAGGGTTTTTATAGGATTAGTGGGGAAGTTACAAAGGAAATATAAGGCTTATCTATGGCTTCAAGAAGCTTATGTTTACCTCAGTCCTATTTCTCATGTTCATTAAACAATTAGATTCTACCTGTCAAAATCCATAGTGGCTCCTTCTTTTGTGTATTTGAATTTGAACTGGTATATCTCAGTCACTTTCTAGAAATATCAAAGGGAATAGAGAAAGAAATTACTTACAAAAAAGAAATCCAGAACCTTATCTGGTAATAGGTGAGGAATATTTTTATTGTATACCTATTATACTACTTACATACCTCTTTGTTTCACAGCATAACATTATTCAGGAGCAGTATTTCCAAATATAAAGATAACTTAATTTTTCTCTTCCATGCTAAAAATGAGTTAGATGGCAAATTCTATTGTTACTGTTTCAAAGCTGGAGAAACTAAGAGGCAGAGTTAAATATCTGACCTGGCATAGGTAAATGACAGTGAAACCAGTTGAGAAATCATTCATTCATGTAACAGATATTTATCAAATGTCTACGTTGTGTTAGACGCTGGAGTCAAAGTGGTGAACATGACAAAAAAGGTCCCTGTTTTTCTGGAATAGACAGACTGGTGAGACAGTCAATAAATAAGTAAACAAAATAATTTCAGATAGTAATAAGTACTGTGAACAATATGAAGCACAAGCTGTGATAGAGAATAGAAGGGAGAGGTGCTAATTTGGTTTGGAAGGCCAAGGATGGCCGCCTTTAAGGGATGATCCTTGAGCTGAGCCTCAGTGACAAAAGGGGATCACGTGCAGATCTGGGGGAGGGCGGAGTATCCTGGGCAGAGGGAACAGCAGTGCAAAGTTCTAAAGCAGGAAAGTAAGCCTCTTTCAGGGCCAAAGAGGAAGCCAAGTGGCTGGCAATGAGTAAGCAAGTAAGAGAGTGTAGGAGATGAGGATATGGAGCTTTATTGGCCATGATAAGGGGTTTGGATTTTATTCTAGGTAAACCAGAAATACACTGAAGTGTTTTAAGCATGGGAGTAATTTGCATGTTTTTAAGATCACCCTGGCTATTTTAATAGTGCAGAAGGAAGAAGTGGAAATCATGAGAGCAATTAAGAGGCTACTACAGTAATTCAGGGAAGACCAGAATGGCAACAAGAAAACTAGAAAAATTCAAAAAGGAACCAGGATCTATGACATCAGGTCTTGTTTTTTTGATCCTGCACTAAAAACTCAGATACCACTGCTATTTGCTCTCCTCACTGTTAAGAAAGCTAGAAACAAAGAGGGAAACATATCCTCATAAGAGACATTGTAAATATAACATGATTGTTATAATGTAAATATAACATGTAAAATAACATGATTGTCTGGTAGTTGAAGCAAACGTTTGGCCCAGATACATTGTACAGCTTGTCCACAGATCTGGAGAAAGTCCGAAAGAGAGGTAAAGTGTGTAAGTGTAAGTAGAACACAAAAAAATGCCCTTCATTCATCTGTTTCAATTTTTGGTCTTGATATTGTGGGAATGAGGATGTTGGATTGATCAGAAAGTCTCAATGTTTCTGTTACTTTACTCTAAGACTTGTTCCCCCAGCTCTACTGATCTTAAAACCTTAGCAAACAACTTAATCACAGGTTATCAGGTCCTGGAGAAATTGGCTCATGCTGCTTAAACTCTAAGACAACTGATTTGTAGTGGACTTAATTTAAAAGATAAAATATTTTTCTAGCAAGACAGTCTACTTGGGAAATCAAACAAAACTTTGAAGGCTGCTTTGTGAGTAGAGTAGGCGAGGTATGTGACACTAGTGTTGCCTACCACAACAGGTTCACCCCAGACAGGCAAGATACACAGCATCCTCTCTTTGTTCATGCTGAGTGTAATTGCCCTGCCAAGCAAACCGTGTCTATTCTTCCTGCCTGCCCATGTTTCACAACAAACTCTAGCTTTTCAATGCTCTGAGCTATCTTTTATTTTTTTAATTATAACAAGAGTAGATCCTTTAGCAGCTGATAATTTTATTAACATGTTATTTGGTCCCTGAAGCAATTCATAAGAGTTATGTTTACAATGGTTTTATACAAGATGCTAATCCCTTATAACTTCAATCTGACTCTGATTATGACAGAAGATATATTGACAGCAAGCATTGGTCTCTTCTTAACATTGCATAAAACATTTTCCTACTTTTCAGATTAATGTGTCGCCTAATAAAGATGGGCCTTTAAAGCACTCAACGATGGTTTCTGTTAATCATACTGAATATATTCAGATACCAAAGCAATAGCAACATATATAGCCTTTTTTCCTCCCTTCACATTCCAATCCATTGGCAAGACTTTCAAGACTATCTCCAAAGCATATCCCAAGTCCATCCATTTATTATCACCCTGTCCAAACCACCACTATCTCTCTTCATCTGATCTCCTTGCTTGCAAAGTATTCCTCCAGTAATTCATTCTCTGTTCTATAGCCAAAAAGGGTTTTTGAAAATATAAATCAGACCATGTTACTCCTTTGCTTAAAACACCCCAATGGTTTCCCGTTGCCCTTAGAATAAAATCCAAAAACTACTTTATCCCACAAGATCTTACACATCTGTCCCTTGTCTACCTCTCTGACCTTATCTTCTGCTTCTTTCTCTCCTACCCACTAAGCTCCAGGCTCAGGGCATGAACTCACAAGATGCCTTGTAGCTTAGGGCCTTTGCCCAGCGATACTCTGGAACATGCTGTCTCCAGTAGATGATGATAATATTTGGGCACTGCCCTAAATGCTCTACATGTATTCATTCTTATGCAGTCAGTACTCTGAGGTAGGTATTATTATCCTCATTATACATGAAGCTAGTAAATGTTAGAGCTGGGATTTGACTCCAGCACCTACAATGTTAACCACTGTGCTATTCTGCCAATCACGTGCCATTGCCTCTCACAGACCTGCATAGGCTGACATCTCTGGCCCTTCAGGCTTAGCTCCACAGGCCTTCCACAGACTATACTCCAATCCCTCCTTCTCCATTCCCTGCCTCAGCACTCTCCAGCACACTACCTTTCTTTTATTTTCTTCATAGCATTAGGACTATCTGAAACTGTTTTGCTCATTTTTGTTTGTTTATTGTTTATTCTCCCTCAAGGATATAAGAATGTAAGCTTCCAGAGAGCAGGGACCTTGTCTATCCCATTAACTCCTGTGTTTTTATACCTTGAACAGTGCTAGGAACATAAAGGGAACCCAATTAATATTTGTGGAATAAACATTCAGCCAGGATAGAGTTCACCCTCAATTAGGATTTTATCCTACAAGGATTTTTTTTAAAACAAAGTTTCTAAAACCAAACTGTGGCTAGAAACAGAGACCATGTATAGTTCAGTTCTTGAAATAATCTATTAAAAATGGATGCTGACCACCTCCAATAGGCACAAAGGAATAGATGGTGAAACAATAAGATTTTTGTCCTCACAGTATTGATACATAGCTATTCTTTTTTTTTTAAAGTAGGCTCCATGTCCAGGGTGGAGCCCAACACCAGGACTGAACTCACCACCCTGATATCAAGATCTAAGTTGAAATCAAGACTCAGATGCTTAACCGACTGAGCACCCAGGCGCCCCCACAGCCATTCTTTATAGTTCTATCATGCATTACGTTGTGTAAAACTTTCCTTAACATATTTACATTTTGGTTTACACAACTTATTAATACCCTCCACACATTTTATAGTGTTTAACTGTAGGAAAGCTACACTATCCCTCTTCACTACTTTACTTTTGTCAATTCACCTGTCATGAAATGGAGCAACCAGAACAAAACTTCTACTACAGAAATACTGCAACTTTGTGCAATGTCCAAAACTCCACTGGCCCCCGGACTGGGTAAGCACACTTAAGACAGAGGTTTGCAACTATTGTACTATGACAGACTCTGCACAAGATTGCTACAAATTTTAATCCATGTGTAAAATATATTTTTGTTTCAGGTATATGTTAATATTGCTATTGTTTCTTCAGTTTTGTTTAGAGAAGGAAATACTTCTACAGGTAAGAGTCAAGAAACATGGCACAATATTAGATAAACACCAAAAGACTATGTCTACATGAGAATGTTGTTTTGTGAGTATATAAAAGAATGAGAAGGGTGCCTGGGTGGGTCAGTCAGTTAAGCATCTGCCTTCGGCTCAGGTCATGATCCCAGGGTGCTGGGATCAAGCCCCACATTGGGCTCCCTGCTCGGTGCAGTCTGCTTCTCCCTCTCCCCCTGCCACTCTCCCCTGCTTGTGCTCTCTTCTCGCTCACTCGCTCTCTCTCTCTCAAAATAAATAAATAAAATCTTCAACAACAAAAAAAGAATGAGATTAGGGAGGTAAGTGGTTGTATCAGTAACTTGATGCTAAATATAAACTATAAAATAGTGCAATCCCATGGATACTTTTAGGCATTATGAACATTACTATTCCATAGTTATACTGTACTTATTGCTGACTTGTTTGGTGTTCTTTTGAGTCTTTTAATACCCTCAAACATGACACTAAAACTTTTATCAATCAAAAGGGTACCATGCACACACAGGGGTTAGGGATCACTGTTATATGGAACGATCTGTAAGCATTCAAAATATTTTTTTCTAGGTTATAAATGGTAGCTCAGCACTTCGTATTATAAGCTTTTGTTTTCTAACTTCATTATTTGCCTGCATCAAGCTCATTTTAATAGCACGCCCCCCACACACACACCCTCCACCCTAAGAGTTTTCTGTAGTTAAATTTGCTCAGCATTTCACTGAGCAAAAGCACTGGTTTCAGATTAAGAGTTTTATATGCACAAGAAAACAAAATAATTCATTGCATTAAGAAAATGACCACTTTGTTAACAATTTATCAGAAGGTTTTTGTTTGGGAAGCTTCCCCTCAAACCTACAGGGGGAAAAAAAGCATTTTGAAACTAAACAAGAGACAAAGATAAAAAGGGGTAGTTCAGGCATTGAGGAATTGTTACCTACCTGTATGTACCAGTTTTCCTCCACCTTGTTCAAACAGTTATTTATAATCTTCCCAAGAAAGGATATTAAAGGCTAAAAATGCTTAATTTAGTCTTGAATGCTACCAGTTACGCTAAATCCATAGGCTTAAGAAGGAAAATTGAAAGCAAGGCAAAAGGAAAGAGAAGAAGGAAAGAAAATTAGG